GCTTGGAACTCGCGGGTGGCACGGCCACCGGTTCGGTGGCCTTGGGTATGATGTGTTTTGCCTTTGAGGATTGGGGCGAGGAGGATACTTGGGAAGACATGAAGTTCAACGTCATCAGCGGCAATGTGACTATACAACTCTGCATGTATGTATCTCAACAACTATTTCCCCTAATACGATGCATATCGCCACGAACAATTTCGCTAAACCTACTGCAGGCAAGTTGTCATGGAATACATCATCGTTGCGCTGTATCTCGGTCTGGGCCTTGAACTGCCCGGCAAAGCTGCGAGACTGAAGAAGCAAGTAGAAGACCAAATGGACCAAGCAAGAGCACTGGATGCTGATCAGCTCCAAGAAACGGTGTTATGGAAATTACACGACTGGGTCTCGCGAATCGTCGCTGCAATGATCATGCCAGCATTGCAATTCGCACATTGGATGTTGGGTAAAATTTTACGATCATGACGGAGCTACTGCATTTCGAAATCAAACAGCATTCTCAATTGATCACGACAAACACGTATGAAACAGTCTCAGACCAACATCCGGCATCACGTGGAAAGCCTAGTGATGGTCCGATCCAAGGAAGGTTTCCGACAATACACAGCAGGGATTCAGTTCCACACTGGGCTCCATTCAACCCCACACGCTAACCAGGTAATATGGCCGAACCCTTGGGAACTAACCATCGTCAACGATTACTAGAATGGCAATTCACACGCTATACGACGTACAAACAATGAAATCAAACCCATCAAGACTCAAGCAATTCGTACCGTAGGCGGCTTTGCCGCTTAACTACCGATCTGCCGGCTCGTGGTAGACCACAATCATAGCACTCGAGGCAATATCTGCAAGTTTAGGGGCGGATCCTTGAGTGGGAAACACAAGTAATGCGCTTGAGGGTATGATCAATGAACTCCGCATGATCTGTTTGTCATCTCGACGATCTAGTTCTATCAAAGTACGCCCAGCATACTTCCAATCCTTTGACGTCACGGTACATTCTCAGGCCTTCAGACACACCGAAATTGAATTTGGCACTGTTCATAATCATCAGGCCCAGTCTCCGTACACAACATCTGTCAGCACAAATACCTCCGCTTCCTCGTTACATTACAAGCCAGCCCACTGCCCTCCTTCTGCATCGTTGGCTTCGACGTACCATCCAGCAACAACAACCACGATATTTTGCCGGGCAAGCTGTTCCACAGCTTCATTTCTCAACCCACTTTTATGATGTCGCACCGCTATCCAGGCGATCCACTCTCAATCATCCAATGTAGAAGAATCATCGTCTGTAAAGACCGAGATGGGATCCTGGGGTATTATCAACGCGAGTGAAACGGTATTCCCGCGTTGAGTTAGCTGCAGGGTTTCCTTGTCATATCAAGAGGGTCATTGCGATTCCTGTTCCACCGGAAGATGATCGTGAGGCCAGACTGGGAAATGCAGCCAAAAGTACGAAAATAACTGACTGTAGAGGGTCTTGAAGCGTGATGGGACTGCTGTGCTGAGTGGGCTGAGATCTGGGAACGAATCACGATCATGCTTGAGCACGGAAAGGAAGAGAATATTATCCCCAAAATTGAGACTAGATGTGAATGACGGCTGAGATGTTTGCCGAGCTGAAATCCGATCGTCTATAATTATTGTGAGACTTGTGTTACATTGATGAGAATTGATGGTAAATCTGACTTCTTAGACTTGAGGAATATGTTTGTTTGTGACCGCGAGGTACCGGTAGGGCTGCCTTCGCGGAACTTACCACGCACTCACGGCAATTTTACACACTCCAGACATGATTCTTATTATACGATAAACCAAAATTTGCATTTAAGTCAGATGAGTCAGCCATACGCTGATACAAAGGCACAGTAGGGTACTTTAAACGAAGAATTAATGCCAAGCGATTAACCTAGAACGAGCAAGAAAGGAACATACAAACCTAGAATCACGACCATCCTACCCTTCAATTCCATATTTACGGCCTTAGTCCAAACAAAACATAAGCGTTGCAGCGATTCATCTCTTCCAGATCCGCCCGCGAACAACAATTCTTCTTCAAAAACGCCTCTACTTCTGGGTCCTGTTCCTGTTCCTGTTCCTGTTCCTGTTCCTGTTCCTGTCCCCCACCACACTTCCCCTCTGACGCTGCCTCATGCCCACGTCGACTAGTGCGCGGCAGGAAACCCATTCTTTCCTCCGCAATCATCCAAGTATCACAAGCCCCTGAATTCGAGCCAACAAGCACATGACTCGGAGGCGTATCCCTCCAGCGTGTATTCTCCTCTGCCTTCACCCTGGCCTCCACCCTCTTCGCTTCCGCGTTTAGAAGAACGCCAACCTCATGCCAGTACGCCTTGAGAATCCATCTAGTTTGGTGCATATGACACAGATGATGTCTTCGGTACTTGAGGTGGTTTTTCTGCATCGCCTGCCGGTATCGCCCGTCGACTTCTATGAGCTTGGCGAAGTAGTGCGATTGCAGCCGGTTGCGCACCGACGCGTTGAGCAACATGTCGGCTGGGCGCACGATTAGGTTGCTCTGGGCTTGCATGATTGGTATGTCTTCGGTGTGGGACATGGCGATTGTCCCATATTGGAGACACGGCATGGGAGAGCCTGGTTGGAATCGCCTTTGCGACTTTTGGGATGCTGGTGGTGGTGCAAGGTTCTCCATGGTTCTGCAATAACGATTAGGAGTGCATAGCAGGTAGAAGGTCTGGTGTACATACGATTGTGTTGTGTTAATGATGTTGTGCGTAAGAGGATTGTAGCTGACTGGGTTGTGCAAGAGACGTGGGAGTGTGCCTTATGATAGGTTTTGTATGTTGTGCCTACTGTGGTCTGTTTACAATCCGTGTTAGACTACATGAATATTCATCTTGATGCTATGGATAGGCTAATGAGCATGCAGGAAAACCATATGATCGTTATTTCTCCTAGCAAATTGTTGGGAAGCAGCAAATGTGCATCTGGAGCCGAAAGTAGGGGTCGATGTATACAGCCTGCATCACATGGTGAGTCTGAGGGTCCATTACCATGTAAATTTCAGCATATAAATAGAACGTCTCTAAACTTCGCCCCAGACAGAAAATCAGGGTTGCATATGTACCTCTGACTTGGTTGCCATACCGGTAAACCACGTCCCAAAGTTGTTGGGTTAGGCTACCATTAAGAAGCATGTCGGACTAGGCGGCCGACGTAACGCGATACCTCCGATAGCCCTTGCACATCATTGTTTGAGCGTGGTAATAGAATGCTTGTAGTGAATTCGCATGAGCAACTTGCAATGAAGGTGCAGCAATTCATGAGGAGTTCACTACAGTAACTGTGATCTGTTCTGCCATTGGCTAACTCTCGCTATCAAGTGGGACTAGCGGGGTTTCCCGGCAATAACGTCATGACCCCCTCCGGTACACCAATAACTCTGTCCTCTGCTCTGACCAGACCTCAAGTGAGGCACAACTTCATTTTACGACGTCTGATCAAGACTTCCCCCATCCACCACATTCGACGCGTGCAAAAGAGATAGTCCCGGAAATGTTGCGTGAGCAAATGAAAGAGGTAGACCTTCTGATCCTTGGCGCGGGCTGGACGTCGACCTTCCTGATCCCGGAGCTCGAAAGAGAAAAGATATCGTATGGAGCAACAACAACAACTGGAAGAGACAACACGATGCCCTTTAAGTTTGAGCCGGACTCTGGCGACGCAGAACAGTATAAAAATTTGCCCGCTGCAAAGACCGTACTCGTTACGTTTCCTCTAGTAGGGCATGGACAGTCAAAGACCATCGTGGGCCTGTACCGTTCCATACACGGCGCGAAGAACAATTGGGTGCAGCTTGGATCCACAGGGATATTCAACCAGCTACCTAACGACTGGAGTACCGATGACTCGCCCTACGATCGATCGGATAGCCGCGCTGTGGCTGAGGACGAACTGCTGCAGCTGCACGGCTGCGTGCTCAACTTGTCTGGCCTCTATGGCGGTGCTCGCGTACCACGCACCTGGCTCCCGCGCTTGGGCAAAAGCAAGGACGATGTTAGGAAGAGAGGTGCCGTACACTTTGTGCACGGTGAAGATGTAGCACGTGCCATTGTGGCTACGCATCGCAAGTTTACTCCAGGGAAGAGATGGATTATTGCAGATTTAAGGGTGTACGATTGGTACGATCTCATCATGAGCTTCAGCGCCATGACGGAGACGGATAGCGTTGAGGCTGCCGAGACTGCCCAGCACTTTGCAACTTGGGTCGGCGAGCTGATGGAGGAGGAAAATATCAGGGCGCTACCAAGGGAAATGAACTCGTTGGGACGCAAGCTGGATTCGAGGGGATTTTGGAATCATCATGGGGTCTGGCCAAGGCACAAACGATTGGCATAGATGTCCTCCATCAGGGCATCTCTGGGTGGGCTATCTGTGCTGGGACAAGTGAGCCAGGTTAGCCGGAGTACTGGGGGAAAATCATCGTGGGAAAAACTCTCTGCCGACGACCTCGTAGTCATTCCCGAACCTGGATTGATGGGTAGCGAGCCCACGATGGCCTCCTCATCAGCAAAAACACAGCCATCGTCCCGAATAATCAGCAGACCAAATTCCCTAGAGCTTCATAGGGTGTATCGTGCATCTATTGGTAGTAGAATATCCCAACATTTCACGCAGAGAGCGAATATTCTCAGAGCTACTATTGGGTATGTTCGTTGGGTGTAACTATTCTAGGTGGCCCCCTTCAGCGATATCAAAGGTACGATCATTTGCAGCCACCCAGAGCCATGGATATCTTTCTACCATACTATGAGGCGTTTTATGCTTGCAAAGCTGCATAGTCGTATGCATCCTAGAGAAATATCACTCTAGCATGATTTCCAAGTCTATTTAAGCTGATATTGGATTCTATTGCTCCTCTATGCTTTACACATTTTTCTCAGTGTTCATCATGGTCTTTTATAATCACCCTACTAGCATCCCAATGCCTACTATCATGCCTTCTATAGATGACGAGTTCGCAGACGTGCAGGACTGGCTTAACGAGGATAGTTTTTGGCAGCCAACGCCTATGCGAGTCCAACAGCCTGTATGTCTCCTAGATCCTCTATCCAAAATTCAAATTAACCGTGCGTAGAATGGATACGCTCCAAGCCATAGCATGGCTGGTTTCAATCTGCACAACGGCAACGCATATGCTCCTGGCAATGGCATGGCGAACGGCAACCTACAAGGGTTCTACGCGTATCCCCCTGGAGGCAGCACCCAGTGCGGAAATGCTCCTGGACAAATGTCCATGAGCTGGGAAGCACGAGCTGCTGTGCACCAATTTCCAGCCCAGAACTTGCCCCAGCAGCAGTGGGGCCAGGGGTTTGTAGGCGCTGCCCCGTCACAGCAGCAGCCGCAACAGTGTAACCAGGCATACAACCTGGCTTCTTCTGGGCAATTTGCCCAGCAATATAACGCACCTTGGGGTCTGCCGGCGGCTGGCCCGTCACACCAGCCGCTCCAGCAGCACAGCCTGGAGCAGCACCATGGCCATTCCGGGCACAGGGCCCAGGTCTATAATCAGCCTTGGGATTCGACAGTGGCTGGCCCGTCATACCAGCCACTCGAACAGGGTGACCAGTTCTTTCCCGAGTTCCTGCCTGTTGCCCTGTCACAGCAACAGTATGCCCAGGCCCAGTTCAGGGATGAAGTGACGGAGGCACCAGTAGCCCCTCCAGTCATTGACCTGACTGGTTGTCCTTCTTCTCCCTTTTCTCCCCCGTCTTCCCCTGCTCCCACTACTCCTCCTACTCCTTTGCCTGCTCCCGCTCCCCTGCCACCACCAGCCGCAGGCGCAGAAAGCCCGGTGCCAAAGCAGCCCACAAGGGAGCGAATCACCTACCTACGGAAGAACATCATCCAACACCGCAACGACTACCCCGTCGCCTGCACCCTCTTCGAGAGCTGGGACAAGCTCACCAAGCAGCAAAAGCAGCGCTACTGTTCCGACTACTGGCCCAGCAACGAAGCCGCCCTCGCCAACCTCCATGAAATGGCCAAGCTGAGCCCCCAATTCCCAGTCATATACACCCACATGATCCAGCACGCCGCCGCCGTCCAAGCCGCACTTGCCCTCACCAACGAAGAAGACCGCAACACTGCGCTCGCCGACGCAGAGACGGCACACGCAGCACGAACCGCAGAGTTGCAGGCAAGTTGCAACATTGCCATGAAGCTGAGGAGCCTGGAGGAGGAGCGCGGACAGTACAGGGCGCTTCGGACAACCATCCGCGGCAAGAAGCAGGGTAAACGCAAGATTGCACACCGACAAGAGATAGCAGCGACGGTGGCAGTATTGGACGAGGATATAGCGGCTATGCGGACGGATCTGGCGATGACGGTTGCGCAGCGCGAACAGGCGATGCACAGGAGGCGGGAGATTAGGAAGGCGAATCTTGCAAGGCGGAAGGCAGAGGGTCAACAGGCGAGATTGGAGAAGCAGGAATGTCAGAAGATGGAGAAGGCGGAGAAGGCGGCGGGGAAGAAGGGAGGTCGTGGTGCGGGTGGGAAGCGCAAGAATCGGGATGAAGGGGTTGTGGATGCGCCTTCGTCGAAGAGAGTTAGGGCCGAGGAGCCAGAACAGGAGATCAGGAGCGAAGAGGCAGACGAGGAAGGCTCGTTCCATGACGCAGACGACTTGTTTACTCGGTTTTTCGAGGATGAGGACGAAGAAGACGAGGATGAGATGGCGTCAGGGCAAGAGGTCTCCTCCCCCAACGTCCACGACGCCATCGTTCAAAGCATAGAAGACGACTCAGACGACTCAGACGACTCAGACGACTCAGACGACTCGATCCAACCAGAACACGTCTCCTCCCCCAAACCCTCCGCCCTGACCGCACCATTCGCCACAGACTCAGACGCCGACTCAGACGAGGATGAAAACACACCTCCTCCGCTCTCCGCTCTGCAATCCCCAGTCGCACTCTCCTTCTCCGCTACCGTACAGCAGTCAATAGAAGTCTTGGACTGGGACTCGGACTGGGACGCAGACGCAGACGCAGACACAAATGCAAATGCAGACGCAACCGCAACCGCAACCCCATACCCCACCAAACCACCCACCCGCGCGCCCAGCCGATGTGATTCCCTCTTTGGAGACCTAGAGCTAGAGCTAGATCTATACCAAGACCAAGGGCACGGTCAAGACCAAGGGCAAGACAAGGAAAGCGTCATCGACGAGGATGATTTCTTTGGCGGCGAGTTTGCAAATGTATGAGGTTGGAGATGGACGAGGTAGATGTAGATGTAAATGTATGAGATGGAATGAAATGAAGAAGATTGGTATATACGTGTATGCATATGTTGTGTATGTGTATGTGCATGTGCATGTGTATGTCTATGCCAATAATGCTAATGATTTCGCTGATGCCAATGCAATGCTTACCATGATAAAAAAAAGGGAACAAAACCCCCCGTTTGAAACGAGGGGGTGAAGATGGAAAACACACCACCACTGCCATCACCATCATCCCCTAACATCTCCACTGACACAGTAAACTCCTCTACCTTCTACCCCTCTACCAACCCCCATTCTAAACCTCAATATTCTCAAACGGATCGCGATCAGGCGGCAACCCACGAAACACAACCTTGCCATCGGCCCCCAACCTCGCGCCCACACTTGTAATCCACACCTTCTTCGTATACCGGCCCGTGCGCTCAATTTCGTCCTTAGCGACACCAAGCTCATCGTGCGGGATCCACACGGCCGGCTGAATGGCGCGCGTGGCCGGGTGCTGAAAACTCCTCTTAATGAGCTTTTGCCGGGCCGAGGGTTCAATGTCTGCCAGTTCGTCGTCGATGCCGTCGAAGAGGTTCGAGGCTGGGAGGACGGCGGCTTCGGTGTCGTGGAGAGGGCGAGCGGCTGTGTCGAGGCCTTTGCGGAGGGTTGTGGTGAGGAGGGCGAGGGGGTCTTTGGGGGCGTGGGCAGAGGTTTTGCGGGTGTTGTGGTGGGAGCGGCTGCGGGAGCGCGGTTTTTGGAGGCTGGTTTGCGATTTTTCGGCCCAGTTTGACTTTGGGCGAGACTGCGAGGACGAGTTCAAAATCGCTTGGTTGCTGTCCATGGTGTTTAGTTCGTAGGAATCTGGGCCGTAGGGTGCTTCGCGCTGGTCACGTGCTTCGAGGCGGTTCATTTCGCTGAGGTGTGCGAGTTCGCGTTCTTCAGCTGTGCGTTTGGCGTTTTCTTCGCTGCTCGTAAGAGGTGCATGCTCGTCGTCTTCGTTCTCACCCTTCTCCCAGCGGCTCGCCTGTGCGCGTTGAAACTCTGCATCGCGAAGAACAGCCTCATCTTCAAAAGTGATGGGGAGGTAGGTGAAGAGTGGCCCAAAGGCGCGATTGAGGACGAATTGGTAGAGCACTGTGAAGCCAAGGATGATGATCATAATGATGGCCTGTGGGAAGCAGGCAGCTTCGTTCCGGGTATCGCGCTGCAGAAAGAACAGACCAATGAGGCAGAGCTCGAGAAAGTAGAGGCCGGTAAAGAGTTGGTTGACGGCTTTGGGGAAAATGAGACCGTTGGTTTCGGCCTTGGCATAACTGACGTAGATCATCTGGTAGCGGTAGGTGAACCAGAAGAGGCAGAAGGTGATCAACATCATTATAAGGATGAGAGGCGATACGACAGAGTAAATGATACCTGGTTCATATTAGTTTAACTCAGTCAAAGCATCGCCAAGCAACTTACCAATAGCACCAAAATTGGTGTACACAGGTATCATAGTACCCCAGTTGATCCCAGGGCGACTCAGCACTCTCGACACCTTCTCTCTCGCCGTTGTGTCCATGAACCTTAAGAAGACGATGACGGCAACCGCACCAATCTGAAGCAATGTACCAGAACTGATACTAAGTGACTGAAGAATCATGTAAGAGAAGAAGTAATTGGCAGCTTTGGGCAAGTTCTTAGCCAACGTTGCCGGAACACTAATTGGGTCGTTGACGAGGTCCTCAATCGCAGTCGTTATACCCGTAGAGATGGAGACGACAAGGAACAACTGCACAAAAACGAATGCAAAATAAAAGTTCTGGACGAGCAGTTCGCGCTCACCAGATGTCGTTGTACCCGTCATGCCAGCCAAGAAGCGGAGCGTAATAGGCAAGACGGCGAAGAGAATCGCAAGGAATAGAGGAGGCAACACACCCTGGATGAAACTGATGAGCCACTCGGGAAGCTTGTTAATCCAGGCCAGCCAGGGAAGCTGCTCCGTCAAGGTTTGGACTTGCGACAAGGCACCGGTAAACGAGACTGGAATACCCCAGAAGATGACAAGAGCAACGATGATGACGATGACAGCGAACATGCGAAGGTAGCGTTCCCACCACTTCATGGACAAATTATCCCAGAGCACGTAGGCAGGATTGACCTCGACGGTACGAGGCGCCATTTGTCGTGGAATGTGATGACTGACCGATTGACAGGCCATGTGGGCTGCGACTTGATGGTTGAATTGGATAAAGGCAGAGTTCATCAGTGGGAACCGCTCGGGATGGGCTTGGTCGTCGGCGATTTCGACATTCAAACGAGCCAGTTCCTTGCGGCAATAGTAAATGGTGTCCACCTTCTTACCAATGAAGGGAAGAGAAGGCCACCAAGACTTGTCGAAGAGTGGAATACGCATAGTCTCTCGATCCTTCGGCTTGAGGTATTGTCTCCACAATGCAGTCTCGTCGTCCTCGGCGAAAGCATCATCATAAAGGCCAGCAAGATTGTACTTGATATTCTGCTTCTCACTGTCCTTGAGTTCCATGGGTAGGACCTCGCCCTCCTGACGGAATGGATTTGGACTTGCAAAATCGGCTGCTCCACTGTAGACGTCCTTGAGCTTCTGCCAGTACTTGAATTTGGATTTCTTTGGATGGGCCTCTTCGGCCTCTTCCTTGGTCGCAGGTGCTACCATGGCTTTTGGCGAATTTGGTGCAGAGTCCGTGCCTTCGGAGCCGTACTTCTCCTTGGCCAGAGGAGCCTGAGTATCGCTGCTGGCGCCTCGATGGGGGTAATCCACCGAAATCGGAGAGTCTACGTGATCATCGATACCGTCCAACTGTGCTGGGGCGTTTCCGTCTTGAGCATGAGTATGGCCCTTTTGCTGCTTTCCTGCAAATACACCACGAACACCGCCCAGCATCTTTTTGTTGAGGCGATCGACACCCTGACCCACGTCACGAAATCCTTCTCCGACGGCGTGGATGCCTTCCCCAAGGAATGGTACAGGGAAGTGTTGCTTCTTCCTGCTCGGTGAAGAGGAGCGAGAAGACGACGACGAGGTAGAGGCCGAGCTCTCCTCAAGCACCTGCTGCAGCTGCGCCTCAATTTCGTGAGGGTTACCGGCGTCAGTACCAGAATCATAGGTCTGCTGATTGGCAACATGATCCTGTCTTGCTTCCTCCTCCTTTCTCTCCTTCTTGGACATTTTCTTCTTGCCAGCCTGCTTCGCCGCCTTCTCCTCCCGCTTCTTGTGTTCCTTGGTGCAGTTGATGATCAGGTTCGTCTCCGCCACCTCGAGCGCTCGGGCAATCTTTGTCCTCTGCGCGACCTTCTCGGCCAAGTCGTCAAAATTGCGATTGATCCAGATATCCCTGATACCACCCGGAAAAACATCGTAGAGAGCATCCAGCGCAGGCACCGTGAGCCATTTCTTGGGGATGCTCTGCACGAGAATGGTCGTCGCCGAGGCGCGCATGCGATGTTCGGGCATGGTGAGCACGGTCTGCCTCATGCGCACAAATTGGCGTAGCGACAGGTAGAAGTTGAAGCAAACCCAGCACACGACCAAGACTGCGAGGACAAGATGGGCCCATAGACGATGTACCTTTTCTGGCACACCCACATTAGGCCAGGCAAACATGTCCAGACCTGCGACACCTGCGACATCACCAATGTGGTTGATTGGTAGCAGAATAGGCAGGATCAGGATGGCCATGGGAATGAAGATGCGCAGGAGGAGTTGTAGGTATTGGATGAAGAGGTAGCCATCCACACCGGCGATTCGAATCAGTTCGCGGTCGCCGATGGTGAAGACATTCTTGAACGACTCGATTGCGGTGACGGGCGCTGCTATGCGCTTTGCCTGGGGCACAAAGGCGGTCTTGTAGTAGCTGATTTGTTGTGGTTAGTTGACAGCGAGCCATTGTCATGGCCGAGGATTGGAGCACAGCACAACGTACTATATCTTGTGGAACAGACCCTGTCGCTCTGCCGATTTTTCATTTTGGAGAATGTCTTTTTCCGCGCTCTTCTTTGTCTTGTGCAATTTCCAGTTTCCGCTGAGAATCAAGAAGACGGTGATTTGCACGCCAAAAATTATGGCAGCGGTGGAGAGGGAGGCGGCAAAATTCTCTATGCTCTGGTTTTCTCGGTCTTGGGCGGCGCCTGCGGTTGGCTTGCTTGAGGGTGCAGCAGTGGTGGACATGACGTGCGATCCCTCAGTGGGGCTTTAGTGTTGTTGTAGTGACTGTATCGTGAATCGTGAAGATGGTTTGGTGTGTGTGATTGTTTGATTGATTGTTTGATTGGGGTGGAAGGAAAGCAAAAGTCTCCCCTGCGCTGCGCCCTAATTGCTGGTGGCCATGGAGTCACTTCCAGGAAAGCAGAAGTAGCGTACGGTCGCAAGTGCTGGATGAGTAGGTAAAGTGAGGAGAGGGAGAGGGAGAGGGAGAGGGGGGCGTAGGTGGGGGGGGGTTTGAACAGTGTACAGTGGAAGAGAGAGGGTTTGACAATGGAATGCGAACAAACGGGCGCATTCACACACACAAAGAAGGGCTGCAGTGATGGATAGACAGACGGTCATTGGCTGTGCGACGTGTTTCAAGCCAATGCCTTGAAAGCCCTGCTACGCGGTTGTCGGATCCTTGGCGCACATCATTGGCACACACACACACACACACACACACACGCACACACACACACGCACACACACACGCACACACACACACGCACACACACACGCCAGCTTCGGCCCACTTGCTGTTTGCTAGCCAGCCGCCGCCCAGCGCCCAGTGCAGAGTGTGGCCAGAGAGATACTAGAGTACTCTACTACTAGGTAGGCAGGCAGGCCAGTTGCTGGCAGCCAAACAAGCGCTATCCTGTCATCGAAGGCGATACCTGCCTACCAGATACTGTGGCGAGAGGGTAGAGTAGGGACTTGTTGTGTTGTCGATGTTGGATTGTGGAGCTGGACAGACAGTTGGACTCTGACGCAGTGTCATCTGGAAAGAGAAAGCCCAAGTGCTACTCTACCACAATGGGCAACAGACAAGGATAGGCCTTTACACCAGACAAGGACAACCTTTTGAATGCTTATCTTGTCTTGCCAACGAATCTTGGATCTACTTGCTCCCATGTAGGGCAAGAAGCTTGAAGCAGAACTCAGGAATCAAGAATCAAGAATCAAGAATCAAGAATCAAGAATCAAGAATCAAGAATCATTCACCTACCGCTGGCTGGTCGCACAGATGGTCAAGCTGTTGATGATGACGCGTTTGTGCAGCGCTTGTACCGCAAGGCGCACCCCACGAGCCATCATCTCGGTACCGTTTTAGCGTCCATGTCCTTTCAGCCAGCCATCGTGGGTTCCGATTCATACCCACCCATTCGTGCACAGCGAGATTGGTATTGGTATACTGCAATGGAACCGCTCAACCTGAGCCGGCCCGAGGCTGAAGTGGATCGAGCAACACATTCTCAAGGCATCTGTATAGAGAGCGGAATCACAAACGTCTTGTTTCTCAAAGCGTTCGAATACTGAGCAAATGCGTTGAACCATGGTTGCAAAAATGACTAGGCTGACTGAGTACCAGACTACGTATCCCAATATTTCGACTTTGGTCGCAACGGAACAGAGTCAAGCATGCTGTCCAACTTACTCAGTGTACAGGGCTCCAAATGATGTTCCATGACATGGGCCTCATACTCTGCTCCGTCTTTTCCGTTGATGCCGCCGATCCAATCGCACCCTGTGCTAGGACAACGCAGCTCTCCAAACGATGTGTAGTTGACATGTTTGTAAATTTGATGGCCCCTCAAGTGCACCATGCTCTTGCTTCTCGCTCCACAGCCCGGTAGCTGGCAGGACCAGCGATCTGCTCCTCTCCAAAACGATTTGCCCGGCTCGTCGGCTTGGGAGAGTGGGTAGCGGTAGGACGAGTGCGTGTTTGTCGTCCAGCTTAGAATGTTCTCGACGGTCTGGATGGCGATATAGGGGTAGGATGTTGTTGTGTCTGGCTCGGGCGGTGGGTAGAAGGTATCGGAGCTGACAAAGTGTCGTGTGGGCGCATCTCTTATCTTTGCACATTCTTTGCATGGACGCATCTCTGGTCTCGTCCGAGAGCATAGAGTAGGATTCATACTGGCCAGCCGGCGGTTGGCGTCGGTATATCCGCAGATGGTAGCGAAGCGGAAATCCGACAGCGCGTTGCGCAGAGAAAGGGGGACGTTGGAGTGAGGTTGCCAGATAAACTTGCTGTTCACCGGGAAAGAAGGGATCGTTATCGTCGACCGCTTAGGGCAGTAGACGTCTTTTTGCTCGACTATAAGAATGACCGTGGGATTTCGTAGGTTGGGGTCCAAGAGTGCAGCACATGCACGAGAGAAAGGTGTGTCCAAGGTAAAAGCCAAACCCCAAGGAATCCAAATCGTCAGGGCTCGCATGTGCCACTGTGAGATCAGTTTTCCAAGAGCTTCTTGCTTATCTTTTGATGTCTTCTGGCTACCACATCCCACCATGTTGTGCTGGGAGCCATCAAAGCTAGCACCGAACATTGCGCTACATACATGCCCAGTTCTCAACCTGAGATGGCCAAGTCGCGTAATGATCTTGCCGACTTGGTAACAAAGATGCTCCCTTTGCTTAACATGCAATTCGGGATCATAAGAGACGTCCGTTCCCGCACTATCGATTTCCAGATGGATCACCGAGTCCGGCAGCACTCCTATAATCCTGGCCAGCCAACTTTGGGGAACCGCAGGTACATCCAGATTTGGGTAGTCCCAGCCATCAGAGAAGTGTATAGAAAAGGTCGTCAGTCTACTAGTCTGTGCGAATATGTCTTCCAGTGACTTGAGAAATTCAGTGTTTCGTGGCATGGTGAAGAGGCTGGTGTTGCGTCGATGTTGAATTTCAATCGTTAGACTCTTCAGTAGCGATAGGTAGAGCTTCGAAGGTATCTCCAGGTCCAGGCTCGTTTCCAATTGCCCCATAAGATTACCGTTATCATATTGCACCTTGTTCCGACGCATGTCTGATTCGATGACAACTGTCGTAGCAAAGCCTAGTCCCTGATACAACCCCAGCCCAACTCGATGCCATTTCTGGCAGGTTCGAAGCGAGTTCCAGAAAAGGGTGGGGTACTCCGTTTCTTTGACGATTTTCAGGATGGATTCAAGGAGCTCCTCAGGAAGGTCATTGATAGGAGATAATGGCATTCTGTTCTCTATAGTACTTGTTTGTAGCATGTTGAACAGCGATAATGTGAATGAAATAGGCCGAATGAGTGTACTGACGGCTGACAAAAATTCTATCCACTTGGTGTTATATACACTCTGGAAACAGCAATGCTAACGCCCAAGATCAAGACAATGCATGTGACAAAGGCGGAGCGTCACTTGGTTCAACTGGTTCTAGATCTGGCTGAGGGCGGATGAAGTCACGTGTTAGCGCGTTCGCGTCCACGAGCTCTCATTGGCCCTCCTATATTGACCAACGGTACTGACGACATTACAACCAAGATGTAGACGACAGTGGTCTTCCTGTCGCATGTTCACGCATTGGGCGATAGTCAGCGTCATTTTACGCCCATCCCACAAGATAGGATCCCTTTTCACATCAATGAGAACCTCACGTATCTCTCGCGACACGGCGCGCATCATTGCCGCAAGTCAGACACAGCGCACCTTACGTCAAACGAGGACAGCGGCCAACGTTGCCGTGCACAACATTCGAGATGCCGCCACAGATAACAGTGACAGCGCAGATCACAATGAAAATGCTTCATCTGATTCAGAATTGAGCTCTGTGCCTACGGAGTCGGACACAGATGGTGAAGGGCAAGCAACGACGAAGAAGCGGAAAAGGGGCCAGCAAGCGCCAGTCGTGGTAAAGCGTGAGCGGGAAGAGGTGTCTATGGCAGCAATCAAATTGCCAGGTCAAGAAGCGAAGCCTAAGAAAGCGCGTCGTCAACCTGCCAAGAAGGTCAAGACGGAGAATGGTGGCGTCAAAGTAGAACCACCATCAAACTGGGAGGAGATCTACGCTTTGACAAGAGAGATGCGCCACGAGAACATCGCGCCGGTAGATACAATGGGCTGCGAAAGTCTTGCAGAGAAGAACCGATCACCACGCGATCGGCGTTTCCAGACTCTCATTGCGTTGATGCTGAGCAGTCAAACAAAAGACACTGTGACCGCGGTCGCAATGAGAAGCATGCAAGAAGGTATACCTGGTGTAAGTCTCCAGCCTCTTGCGTATACAATACAACTAACAGCAAGAGTAGGGCTTCAATCTCGAATCCGTGCTTGCGCTTGAACCGGCCGCACTCAACGCCTTCATCTGCAAAGTCGGCTTCCACAACTTGAAGACAAAGTACATTAAGCAAACCGCCGAGATCCTACGGGACAAGTGGAACTCGGACATTCCAGACACAGTAGAAGGACTGATCTCGCTACCTGGTGTCGGACCTAAAATGGCCTATCTCACCCTCAGCGCTGCATGGGGCCGCGACGAAGGCATAGGCGTAGACGTTCATGTCCATCGCATCACGAATCTTTGGGGCTGGCATAAGACGCAGAATCCAGAGCAGACACGCGCAGCCCTCGAGTCCTGGCTTCCCAGAGATAAATGGCACGACATCAACAACCTGTTGGTTGGGTTTGGCCAGACGATATGTCTCCCCGTAGGCAGAAAATGCGGCGAATGCAAACTTGCAGATCGCGGGCTTTGTCCCTCGGCAGTTGTGGGGAAGCGCACAAAGGTTGAGAAGGAAGAAGCTGTTGTTAAGATTGAAGCGCCCGGCGAAGAGGAAACTGTGAAGCAGGAGGTGGTCGAGGTAACGGTCAACGACGTCAAAGCTGAAGAAGTGGAGGATGTGATGCCTGATATGGAAGATATTGGGAAAAAGCCGAGTAAACGAATAACACGTCAGAAGTCGTAGTCCGGCTTTCGAGGCGTCTTATCAGATTGCTCACATGGCTTACTGTCATGGCCTGTGTGCAATTCCATAACGGTACTACCAATTCCACAATGGTTTTACTTGCATACTGATATATCCATATAATCCTGCGCTTTGCATCTCTTGAATTTGCAATAACGCAGGTTCCTTCGACGTCTCATTTCTACGCGTGTGTTCGACTATCGACGGCATCTTCACTGCAATTTTGTGAGAGGCTTAACAGCGGTGGAAATGAATGTCCTTGCAAGAAATCCCTCTATTGGTCACCCACAATCAACTTATGTGTTCATGCGGTTTGGTTTTGCCTTGAGCTGTACAGTGGCTCAACTATGATGGACTCGTTCACAATCTCCTCAGGCCGTTCTCTCACTCGCAAGAGCAGACTCCGCGACCGCGATCGGGACAATATCACTTGAGCCTCCATCTAACGCCAAATAAGTGAGAGATGTAGGGCAAAAGGCGAGCTCTCAGCAATTCACACAAGGTCTCGTCCTTCACCATGACCATGGCCAGCCCTAGCTATAAAACGCCCACGCCACCCATCTTTCCAAAACCTGGCTCCTACATCCGCGAGTCTTGATTTACATTAATCCATTTCACATATTCAACCCCTACATCCCATTCCACATGGCGATTCTCCGCAACCTAGTGCTCTGCACAGCCGGTACCCTCCCCCACGACTCCCCACAGATCAAAAAATGGATCCTCGCCAACGGAGGCACCTACACGCCCACGGTCCAGAATACGACAACCCACCTGCTCGCCTCCAAAGAAGCCTTCAAGAAGCCGCATCCAGCCGTCCAGCGCGCCACGGACCACGGCCGCGTGTGGATCGTCAGCTTCGACTGGTTCGACGACAGTCTGCAGGCTCGGCGCAAGCTCAGTGAGAAAAAGTACACGTGGGAGTCGTTAACTAGGGAGAAGAAGAAGGGGAAGGTGTTGAAGAGGGTGGGGGCGGTGGTGGATGGTAGGAAACCCTTTTTGGTAAGCTCTTTCTTCTCCGTCTTCTTCGCACTTCCACTCGGCTGATCCTGCACCGCCACGATGTCGCCCACGCGTATGCCATGTTCAGGTATGTCGGGCTTCTCGCCCTTGGCCACGACTGCAGGATCTAGAGCCAGCTCAACTACAGTCTTACCACCCAAGCCCGTGCGTACAGACGAGACATTCAGGTTCAAGATGGCGAGGCCGGCACGGGA